AACAGCTAAGAAAGGTCTTCCTTTATTGAAATCCTGATTCTCAGTGGTACTCTGCTAATGTAATTGCTGCATGAAAAACCATGGCATTTTGAGTATTGTATTTGTTGATGATTCTTAGGTAGTAGCAAGGATTCTGGACTTTCAAAAAGGATGTTATAATTACCTTTCTTAAGCTTTATTATACCTCGTATCTCTACATTTGACCCACAGGGATATGTCTCATGGTACCGTTAGAACAAAAGAATGTGTAAGAGTTAAAGTTTGAAGAAAGCAAACATTTTTCCAGCTCTTTCTAAAGGAAATTATCTAGAATTCTCTAACTAGAAGAGACATTCTCATTCTGATCATCTTTTCCTCCTCTTCCATGAAGTAAATGAAGACCAAATAAGTAAAATGGCTTGCCGAAGCTCACTGAGCTATTTTGTAGCAGTGTCTCTTGATTCTACTACATTAAAATAAAAATCATATGATTTTTAAAATTTACTTTTAGAGGGCAAGATTGTGAAAATCAGATAACTCCTTCTGAGAATCTCTAAGTTAATCTTTACTCTTTACTCTGTTCATTCAATAAATAAATATTTCCTGAGAAACTACTAAGCAAAATTCTATAAGGCTACAAGTTGAATGAGAATTGCTCTGTGCCTTTCAGGAGATTACAATGTAGTTCACAAGATAAATGAATCAAACAAATTATTTAATAAATTGGTAACTGAGTAATAAATACACAGCTTGTCACCACTGTAAAGTTGGGCTATTTTTTATTTAGTATGGGTATTATATGAGATAAAATATATAAAAGCATCCAAAATCACAGATGATTATCTAATGTTTTTAAAGTTATTCATCGCTACAAGACCATTAACAAATTAAAAAAAAGTCTTGATAAAAGTAGATCAGAGAAGTCGGCACATATTCATTTTAAGTGACATGCATAGTTGAACTTATTCTCTGGATAGTTAAGCAGAATGATATAGAAATCTATATGATCTGGTCCATTTCTGCCTTGGAGGCAGCAGTTTCCCTTCCCATTGAAGTCTCAAAGCCCCAATCTGCACTGTTTACTGATTCAGCTGATGGACAGGGCCTGAGCTCCCACAGTAATGCACTGATTGCTATTTGCTTCTGGAAATAAATGTTGCTTAACTGAGCTTTATTTATTGATTAGTTGGAATGGGCCCAGACTACCAATGCAGTCTGTAGGAGGAAACAAAATACACCTACTTTCAAAAAGAAAATGTTAAAAACGCCCCTCTAGCTGTGTTGGTGCTGAAACAAAACTTCCAATGCCAGGAATGTCTTGGGATGTCTCCCAGTTTTTTCTATTTAAATAAGACTATAGGGCTGTGACAAGAGGAGGGCAAATAATACCAAACAAGTGCATTCAGCAAATTCTGTCCCACAACTTTGGAGGCAGGGGGAATAATCCCACAGATGCTAAATTGCCTGACACATATAGAAGCTGACAAGGGATACAGCCTTCAGTGATTATACAGAATTATTTTCTCTGTAATGCAGAATTCCCAACCTAGAACTTCACTTTATATTATTATTTGGGGTAGGGCTACTGTCAGCTTCAGGGCAGAACTCTTTCTGAGACCGCAGTGAGCCGCTTAGCCACAGCTGCTTTCAAAACCGGAAGATAACATAAAAGTGAGTAATAACTCCATGTGTTCGAGGGAAGAGCTGTGGGTTAGTTTAGGAGAAAGAACAATCTATGTCAGGAAACCTTACATCTATCTCTGTTTTAAATGTTCCTAAGTGACAGTACACAAAACAATAACAGTAGCATTAATATCCATTATATATTGAATTAGTGTGAAAAGCTTTATATCAATTATTTCTGATTCTCACACAACTCTGGAGATAGGATGTTTTGCCATTTTGTACATGAGTAAACTGGAGTTCAGAGAAGTTAAATGACTTGCCTCCATCTATAAAGTGGCGGATCCCACACGTAAACATAGCCTGTCTCATTTCAAAGCTAATGCTCCTTTTAAACATCATGTTTTCACAAACATGACTCCTCACAATTCATACAAAATTTAGGGTAGGTGCTGCCTCTGAGTGAAAAAGGAAGAGTATAGATAAAGTTTCAGCTACAATTTGTATAGTGTTTTATTTCTTAAGGGTAATAATATAAAGCAAATAGGGCACAATGTTAACCTTGAAATTTATACTTGTTTCCAGTTTTCTGTGGATTTGAAGTATTTCATTTAAAAATTATCTCCTATTAATAAATGATAAAGTTGAACTTATTTCTTTGCTAATAAAATTATGCCAGGAATCCAAAACATTACTCATAAAATGAAAATAGAATGGCTTCGATAAGAAATTAAACCCTCCCTGTACTCTTTCTACCAATAGATATTAATGATTGTCATGAATTTAGTCAGCTCTCTTTACATAAAATAACCACTCTTTTTTTTTTTTGAGATGGAGTCTCATTCTCTTGTTAGGCTGTAGTGCAGTGGTGCAATCATGACTCACTGCAACCTCAGCTTCCCAGGTTCAAGCGATTCTCTTGCCTCAGCCTCCCAAGTAGCTGGGACTATAAGGTCTGTGCCACCATGCTCAGCTAATTTCATATATTTTTCTTTCTTTCCTTCTTTCTTTCTTTCTTTCTTTCTTTTCTTTCTTTCTTTCTCTCTCTCTTTCTTTCTTTCTTTTTTCTTTCCTTCTTTCTTTTTTCCTCTCTTTCTCTTTCTTTCCTCTCTTTCTCTTTCTTTCCTCTCTTTCTTTTCCCTCCCTCCCTCCCTCCCTCCCTCCCTCCCTCCCTCCCTTCCTTCCTTCCTTCCTTCCTTCCTTTCTTCTTTGTTTGCTTCTTTCTTTCTGAGACAGGGTTTCATCGTGTTAACCAGAATGGTCTCGATCTCCTGACCTCATGATCCGAATGCCTTGGCCTTCCAAAGGGCTGGGATTACACACATGAGCCTCAGCGCCCGACCTCCAAGACTTTTTTTTGATAACAATTACTACATATTAGAAAGTTCTTACTTTGCACAATAGTTAGAGATTATAAAGAACACCCAAGAACTGAAACCATGTGAATGAATCTTAACAACCTATGAGAAAACTTATCATTTAAATATTTTGTTCCCCAACCTTTTAAAGTTTTGCAAAACACTTGAAGCTCTCTTACTGTTGATTACAAATATATGAAGATTTTAAGATAAAAATATATTTAGCACATTCTAGTTTAAACTATTAAAACATTGACAATATATTTTTTCTTTGTAATTAATAATGGGGATAATTAATTTTTTTTTCAGAGAAATCAGCATTTTTGTTTTTAACAATTAGCCCACATCAGAGGTATCTGAAGGCTTTGTATGTTGAATTTGTACATTAGATTTTTTTGTGGGTACAATTTGAACTTTTCAGGAAACATCCTTATTATTGTCAGGTGGGGTGTTTGCAGGGAGGTCAGTGCTTCATGAGTTCAGGAAAAGAATACGTTTCTTGGGTCGCTGTGTTTTTCGTGTTGGCCATGTTAAATATCGACCTCCTGGAATCGATGAGCAGCCGGTAATATCCAGCCGTCAAGCAGGCCAGGTTCATGGCATCCGAGGATTCCATCAGGAGCGTGATGGGCTTCACATCTAGCACGTGGAGTTAGTTGCACCCGCCCCAAACCCTCCTCCTCAGAAAACATTTCGATCCTGTTGATGTGGCTAAAGTCGGCTAAAAGGGCCAACAGATTGGTTTTGGTGTTGATGACGTGGCTTATGCCATACCGGGGCCCAACCAGGAGAGTCACTTCCGAGCGCTTTTCTGCCTGCACTAATGTTGCCTTGAACACACGGCCCCCGTACAATCGCAGGTCACTGAGGAACTTGAGATAATAGACCTTGGCTTGTAGTGCAGAGAGCTTTTTACCCGGTGGTACAAGGTTTTGATTTGCTTTGACAAGGTGTGAAAGTGCTTTCTTTATGTTCTCTTTCATGCTTTGCAGCACAGCAGAGGGAATAAAAGTCTCTAATCCCCATTCTTTTTCGATGTATTTGAGGGAGATTTTCTGCGTTTGCTTGGTGGTAACAGTTGCATTGAACAGTTGTAACGCGGCCAGCCGCAGGGTTATATCATATTTCAGCTCCGGCCCACATCGCTCCTGAATCACGTCGTTACAACTCTGAACATAGAGATATTCGAAAGCAACTGGATCTCTCCTTAGAAGGTCAATTGGATCTTTTGGGACGAAGCTAATTCAGAAAAGACATCTCATCTTATGGGAGCTGGGCCTCTGTGTCACCTGAATTAGAGTCTCCTGTTCATGAAGTAAGAGTAGCTTAGTTCCAGCCCCTTCTGTCCTCTGCTCCAGCATGAGAGAGAAATGTTCAATGCCTTTGATGGAGAGCTTCTCTTGAAGGATTAAGGTGACATCCTTAATGGAAGTGCTGCAGTCAAAGCGAATTGATTTGGTCTGCCCATTTTCCAGATAGACTTTCAAAACATTTGGCATAAAAAGAAGCGAGTTGTCCTTAACAGTTTCCGACACTTGGCCGTTGATGATGACCTCCTCAGAGAAGCGTACTTTGACTGGATTGGACTTTAATCTTGCCTTTTTTGCAGCACTAATAAATGCTGATTTGGGAGAAGGGTAAGGCTGAATGACAGTGAGGAGTATCGATTCTTTGCAGGAACCACCCTATATTTACACAGTCTGTCCATTCCTCCCCAACCCTCCAACAATATCTAGTAAAGCATCTTACATGGCTTGATTTAAATATTTGGCTTGACCGAAAAAAACATTTTTCCACTTATTGTACCTTATATGGAGGACTTTTGACTGGAAACAATAATATTCATAATTTGGCTGCAAACATGTCTGAACAAGGTAATACATATTTCACTGAAACTAAACAACTTTTATGCTTTTAATATTATGAGGGAAAAGTAAACAAAATCTCCTGTTTCCTTTGACCAAGACATTTTTTCCTGGTTTAACTTAATATTCTATGATTTTCTAATAATTGCAAGTTGAATCATTTCATCTGGTATCTTTTATGGGAGTTAACTCACCATTTGTGAAGAGAGGCTCAGGAAGTTTTCTAAAGAAGGATTTTAGTAAACTGCTTATCACATTCAAATCTCGCCATTTCTAGGTGTACAAAATAGAAATGCAGTATTTTTGGAGTCAGTACCACCAAAGGGAAAAAAATGTTATTCAAACAAAAATAAGCAAACTTACATCATCTTGTATATCAATATCAGCCATTCCCTTGTTGAGTTCTTCTTGCATACTTGATATGGCTGCATTATTTCCAGGAACTCTATACATACCTGTATATTCAAGACTTCTTTCTTCAACTAATTTGCACATATGTCAACTATTAATGGAATATACTGCAAAACAAGAAATAAACATTTTCTTTAATGCAAAAAAAAATCTGATTAAATGTATTTGAACAGTTCTCATCTTCTTCTTATAGGATAACTTAACAATACAGGATAAACATGTTTTCTATACCTTGGTGAGTTGTCATACTTTTTTCTAAATGTGTATCAGCTTCCAACATGTGATCTTTTGCATTTTCAAAACCAAAAAAAACTCATAGAATTCCCTTACTGTGAAGTTTTTGTCATTTTGCTGGAAAATCTTCATCCTTATTGTTGCTATCATATTCCTTATTTTTGTTGATAAATTCTTCTTTACTCAGTTTTTCTCGCAGCATATATAAACTTTCTGAGTAGCAGCAGTGTGAATATCATCAGTCAATCAATCAGCCACTTATTCTATAACTTCATTTATATTCTATTTGAATTTCATTTCCAGCATTAACACTTTTTATTTCTTTTCTGCACTTTCATCTTTGTTGACCAATTTTCTCTTTCAGTTGTTTATTTTTATAAAATTTCATGTGGGTTTGCCACTCAGAGGCAAGGAGCCAGAACATCTGTCTGTGTGTGAACTGCATAACCAATGTGCCCTGACCAGTTAATGGCTGACCTAGAAAAGAGTAATGTGATTGGTATGTGTATATCTGATATTTAGATAGTGCTCTGTGGACTGAACACCTGACAATTATTTAATTATTCACATTTATAATACACTGCTCTAATTAAAATTTGAGCTATGTTATTGGGGGCACTGATTATTTAGCTAATTCTGTACCTGTAATTTGTGCATTTCAGAAACATGCATAGTGAAGCCTGCCCATATTCTTGTTGCAAAATGTGTATTTCTTATGAAACACTGTAGTGGTATATAGGACATGGGGATGGTCTGAGCTTTCTACTCTAGCAGGAGAATTTTAACATTGACATTGCACAGAATTTCCAACAGGTGGTGATAATAAAAAGCAGATTAACTAAAAGTTGCTTTTAAATTTTTTAACACAATATATTTATTTTTTGCTTGTACTAGGTGTGGGTCACTCCCACTGCCCTCTACCTTGGCATGCCACTGAAACATGGTAACCCAAAATGTCACAACAGTTGAAGCCAAGGCTGGAGACTGTTGATGTCAGGGTTATTATTTTTCTGTGCATCAATTTCTACCTCTATATAAATATGCTAGCCTAACAGACTCCATCTTAGATGTAAGCCTGACAAACTCCATCTTAGCCTCTCCCTCCCTGTCATTTGTCTTTCTGGTACACAGCTGGGTCATGTTTTACTCAGAAACTTGTTACCATTATAAGTACATCCTGCCTGGCGAGTTGAACTGCTATTGTGCATAGCCTACCCCCCTCGGTGATTGATTGTATGGAAAGTCCCTCCTGCTACCCCCTTGGTAACCAACAATCCTGGGAACCTCCTACATCCTGGTTACCAGCTTCCTTATCTGACTTGCTTGTTCTGCTTCTGTAAAATTCTGCTTTGCCACCCCCCTTCTCTAAGCAAGGTATTAAAAGGAATCAAGCCCCTTCTTCTGTGCCTAGAGAAGTTGCGAGCTTTAGCCGACTCTCCATCACCAGCAACAAAGGACTCCTGAGTCAATCTCAGAGTGTGGTACTTTCCTTACAACTTGCTCAATTACAACACAAAAAAGAAACTAATACATTCTCATCTCATGAGCTTGCTGGTCGGATAAAACACAATTATATACATAAAATCATTTGCTTTGGTATATTAAATGAAGTACAGAAATGTGTGGCGAGAAGGCCTAGATTCAAGACCCAATCTGCAGCTTATTTACAGGATAACTTTGGAAAATGCACTCAGCTTTACAAGTTCCAACTTTCAGTTCTGAAGAAATAAATGTAGACTTAGTATCTAATTCACAAGATCACTTTGACATCAAATAAATGCTTTGCTAAAAGCAAAACACCAAGCAAAAATGTATTGCTCTTATGGGGTATTACAGTAAGATGCCTGCCATTCACTCTTACTATGCAATACTTTCTTCAATACTCTCTAGTGGAACACTAATACCAGAAAAAGATTATTTGGTATCACTCTATTGAAGTATGGTCCCCAGATCAACAGCATCAAGAATACCTGGGAAATAGTTATAAAGGCAAATAATTGGGTTCTGCACATTTAAATTTCTACCAAATCTGAAACTCTGGAGATTGAGCCCAGAAATTTGCATTTTATCTAGACTTCCTGATGATTGCTTCACATGCTGAAATTTCAGAACCACAGCTTTGGGACAGCTTTGGTTCTGACTTGTCTGCATATTGGTATCAACTAGAATGCTTTAAACAACATTGAGTAATACACCCACGTTTTATTTTAATTTAGGTGCAACCAAGGCAGAACACAAAATTAAACATATAAAATGACAAGATAACAGGCACTAGAACTCAGTTTGCCTAATTGCATAATTATAAACATATCAGGGTAAAGACATGATGGAAACTGCTTTAGCTTCTTCAGAGAAGTCAAGATTCAGGATATCCTAGAAGACAGGACAAATTATTTAGGTAGAAAAAAATAGATTTACATGGGCAAAAAGAAAGTTACAAGGATATGAAATATGGAAAGATAAGCCTACTAGCTGAAGGGAATACAATAGTTGATTGAATTTATTCTGCATTGGTGAAGAAAGATTTTCTTTTCCTTTTTATAAAGATGCTTATAAAGCAACATTCTAGAAAACATAGTAAAGTTATTTTTCTCCAACAGAGATGTTGAACTTTTTGGATTATTCTAGGTATGTGAGAATGGTTTACTATCTTAAAACCAATTAATGTCATTCACCATATTAACAAGATTAAGAAAAATAATCATATGAACATATCGCATTTTTCAGAAAATGCATTTGAAAAAATTCAAAACTTAATCATAATATAAAAACTTTCAGTATATTAGGATTATAGGGGAAATTCTTCTGATATATAAGAAGCATCCTTAAAAATCCTACAACTAACATGATATATAATTGTAAAAGTCTGAATATTTAGTCCCTAAGATCAGGTAAAATGCAAACATGTTTACACTGACTGGTGCTATTTAACATACTAATAGAAGTTCTGATAAGTGTCATATTGCATGATAAAGAAATAAAAGGGATAGAGATGAGAAAGGAAGAAATAAAGCATTCCCTATCTGCAGTTGATGTAAATATCTATGGAGAAAACCCTAAGCAATCTACAAAACAATCACAAAATATTAAAATATATTGTAGCCTGGGTTGTAAGACAAATAAAGAGAAATGAAGTGTATAATACTTGCAAATAAAGAGGTGAATATTATCCCTATATGCATATAACTTCTATAAAAATGTTAGGATGAGATAATAAAATATAGTGCATTCAGCAGTTTTTCTAAGTTCGACTTTCAAATAATGAATATTTCTATAATTCAGTAATAGCTAATTAGGAAGTGCAATAATAATTAAAAATTTCCTATTTACTAAGTGTAAGTCTAATAAAATATCTAAAGGCATTATTTCAAAAACAGAAAAATATCTGACCAAATGGAGATACAAATTATCTTCATGGAAAACATAATTTAGTGTCAAAAAGACATAATTATTTCTAAATTAACATATAAAATTAATGCAATCTTAATCAACATTTTAACGTTTCTCATTTTTTTGATATAGACCCCAAAATAAACTTATTTAGAAATTGGGAATACACACACACACACACACACACACACACACACATTTATGTAATTTGGAAGAAGAACAGGAAAGTAGAATTTACCTTACTAAATTAGAATAATTACTCAGAAAGAGATATATTTATATATAAATTTGATTTAGGGTATTAGTAGCATTAAAAATTAATAGAAATGCTAGTTTACTCAGCAAATGGTATTGGTTATCAGTGTGTAAAATATTAGCCACACATTGAAAGTAGTATATTTCAGATGGGCTTAAATATTAATTTTAATATTTAAATTTTAATACTTTAAATTTTCACAAGTTAATATAAGACATTTTTATGACCTCAAGATGAAAAAATATTTCTTAGATAATTTATTAAAAGTATGTTATATAAAAGAAATACTAACAATTGTGAGTGCATTTAACTTTCTGTGGGCAAAGAAAAAAAATGTTAAGTTTTCAAAATCAAGCCATAAAACATATTTACAAAGAAAAGTATAAATAAAGGGTAAGCATCAATAATTATTTTAAAATACTGCTACTACTAGTTATGAAATGATATATAATTCAGTGAAATGGGGAAGGACTATACAAATGTAATTTATAGAAAAAGAAACCAGAATAGCCATGAAATCGATTAAAATATTTTAAATTCACTCTAACCAGAAAATGCAAATTAAGGAAAGTGAGATTTTCAAAAGAAATATATGACATGTTGACAAAATTTATATATTGGAACATTCAATTAGTGGTGAAGATAACAAAAAGTAAGAATTATATAACACCCTGGTGGGATAATAATAAAATCTCTTTGGAAACAATTGGTCAGTAAAAAGTAAAATAGAAAAATATGTTCTTAAAGAAGCCTCTGTACCTGTAGAGGTATACAGAAGTTCTAATACATCTTCATGGAAATACAAACAGACATGTCCATATAATAAATAATAAAAAATATAAACAACTTGAATGCTCATTAGAAAGAGAATAAATAAATGATGTTGTATTCACACCTACAATAAAATAGTTATGTGTATCTGTACAGATAATTCCCACTAACATTATTTAAAATAAAAGTCTAATGTCAGTTTTTTTAATTATGTAAACCTTCATTCAAAAGAAATTATGAATATGCAATGTAAAATATATTGTATATTTTTATATGTAAATACATATAAATTATATCTTGCCATAAGCATTGTCTCTCCCTCGCTGTGATGAACAAAATGAATATATGACACTAAATTTCTCAGAGAAAAACAGGAATAGTATCAAGGAGAGTATCTTGTGAGTTTCACTTTGATATGTAGTGTTCGCTTCTTAGGAAATTAATCTGTAGTAAACCTGATAAATGTTAACATTTTTAAAAATTGAATAGTAGAAGTGTTGTTATTTGGCTTATTACTCTCTATTCTGTGTTTTATATATTTTATAATAAAATCTATTAGAAGAGAAAAAAATAATAATTTAAATTTCTACCATGAACACATTTCTTTAAAATATGTTTTCAACATGTACACCATATCCTTTTTTCCTCCTGCAAAAGTTCACCGTGATTAGGAAGTGTGAGACTAATGCTGAGAAGAAAAATTTCCTTTTATTTTTAGAGGCAATTAAATTTAACACTGGGCCGCCTGCTACTCAAAGCATTGAACTCACTTATTCTCTTGACAGATCTTTCTTCTTCTTCAGATTTCCCATTTCACACAGCAGGGAATCAGGTTTGCTGGAATTCACACTAATTTCCAGTGTATAACAGAACTACTTTGTCAAAAATCTCATATAATCACATCTTCTAATGCACTACAAAAAGCAAAAAACATGACATTTTCACTACAGTTTCACTGCAAAAATACATATAAACCCAATATATATGAAAAGTGTGATAGACAAATTACCTTTCTAAAATAAACTAAACATATGTTTCATCTCTAGGATTAAATTTTTAATACTGCACCTATCCCACACAACCCATAAAGTTTTTACAATAAAATTTTTGATTCTAAATTCATAAAAGTTGGCTAAAAATATTAGTGGGATCTCTGGGTTTTTACTCTCTTCTATTCTTCTATCCTTTCCGTCACAAAGTCTAATAGTAAGGACTCTCTTCAGTATGGGTTATATCAACTTTACCAGACTCAAGCCAGAAGAAACCTCAGAGAATATGATGATGAAGACATCTTTGTGAAGATGAGCTAAATCCTAGAGAAAGCAAATGGTTTGCTCTAGGACATACTTGCTGAACAGACAACAGCCAGGGCTAGAATCCAGATAAACCTCCTGTTCCAAGAACTGCTCATGACATGACAGTTCACACTGTCAGGATCTTTCAATACTCACAGATATCACCATAAGTCAAAATAAGTGCTCTTATCTCATTTTTAAACTTTCAGATAACCTGCCTAACTTCAGGCTCTGATTCCTCAATAGTTTTTTTGTGTGTTATTTTATTAGGTCTTTATTACAGAATAGGCTCCTCTGTTAAACTCTCACAGTCCTCTATAATTTTTCCTAAACTTTGTTTCCATCTTTTCCCTATCCTCCTCCATTTTATATTAAATATCTTCTTTAGAAAGGATTAAACCATGTGTGACTTTCAATTATATTGACTGTCTCTTATCTAAATTCATAAATTCCTGCCCATTATTCTAGGCACATATGAATTCCTATCCATGCCATAAAATCTTCTCAGACTATATTCACCCATAATTTTACTATCATTTAATTACCATACTTACATTCTATTTTGCAAAATAAACCATTTAATTGTTTATTGATTAACTCAAAGGCATGTTGGTTTCTTCACCAATTATTTTCTAAACTCCCTTAAACCTAGTGATATATCTTATGATCATTTTGTAATCTCCAGAGTCTAACACAGTGATGATTGATGATCCATAACCAGTGCTCAAAAACTACTGGTAATAGATTAAGCTCAATTAAGACATTCAAATTACAGATGATGACTAGTAAATGAAGTGGACGGTATATTGCTAAATGATTTGGATTCGCTGTCTGTAATGTGCCAGATCATGATGGCCAATTGTTTGCCCCACATAGCTCCCAGAAAGGGCAGCACACATGACCATACGTTTTCACTGGAAAGGGCTAGAATAAACCATCCATGGACACAGTGGATTTTTCCACCTGGGAAGTTTAAATGGAAGACAAAGGTATTAGCCCCACAGTGGAATGCTTCTTTATTGATAAAAATCTGTGTAGTCTGGAGAGCAGAGTTTATGTCAAGACAAATCATAACCATATTCAATATATAGTTATAGGAAAGATGATACAAAGAGTGAGCAGAGAAACTGATTTTCAAACAAGAGAATGCAATAAACAAGCTAATAGAAAAGGGAGGGAGAGAGGGAAAGAAGGAAGAGAGAAAGGGAGGGAGGGAGGGAGGAAGAAAGAAAGGAAGGAAGGAAGGAGGGAGGGAGGGAGGAAGGAAGGAAGGAAGGAAGGAGAGAGGGAGGGAGGGAGGGAGGGAGGAAGAAAGGAAGGAGGGAAGGAGGGAGGGAGGGAAGGAGGGAAGGAGAAAAGGAGGGAAGGAGGGAGGGAGGGAGAAAGGAAGTGAGGGAAGGATGGAAGGAGGAAGGATGGAAGGAGGAAGGAAGGAAGAAAGGAAGGAGGAAGGAAGGAAGGAAGGAAGGATTTCCTATTTCCTAAAAGGAAGTAAGAGAGACTATGGTGTGTATGGGTGTGTGTGTGTATGTGTGCATATGCGCGAGAGAGAGAAGACCTGAGAAAGATTAGTTTCTGACAACCTATGTCCAGTCTCATGAGACCCAGTTACACATTGTTACTTGTTCTTCGTGTTAATGAGAATGTCAATTTCACGTAATAATTAAAATTTCCCCCATCCACATTTCAGCAAATTTTATTGGGTTTATTTTCCTTGTAATTCATTTTCTAATTTATCTTCCTCTCCATGCAATGAAAAGTAAATCTGAAGTCTTATTTTCTCAGCTAAATCTTATATTTAGGTGGATCTTCACTCTGATAACCCTCAATATTTTATGAATCTACATTTGCTTATAGCTAATTCATTACTCCATCAATCTCTTTACCTTCCTCTGTGTAGTTAATAAAGAAGAAAATAAACAGAAATCAAAGAAAAAAATGTTATGCCACTTGATATCCATTTAAGTCTCAGGAGAGTATTCTATTTATCCCACATTATTTAAATTTTTCTCATTGAAATAATTTTATTAAAATTAATTGAGCAGAATAATTCAATTCAGGTCTTTCATCAAACCATTCTAAACAGCAGGTTTAATTGCTGCTAACTGGTGCATTTAGAAACAGCCTTCAATACATGAGATGTGAGTTATTTTTGGTATTTTCTTTATTAATACTATGTCAGTAATACACTAACATCAGTTTCAAAAATAATGTTAACACCCCTTGGTTCAAATTAATGTGCTTTTCTGCGTCATTTTGAAATTAAAGTCTTCACAATTTCATATGAAAGCTATAAAGTTGTCCAAAGAATTAAAGAGTATAAGAGACACTTATTGATAACATATTATTAGTATGTGTAAGCATGTATTATTTATAAATGTAGATATATTTACATGTATATAGGGTATATTTAATCATGTTTAATGTGTGAGTATAGATGTGCACATATACAAACATATACAATCTCACTGGCTTTTATAACATCTTGTAATCCTATTATTTCAAAAAATCTAGCCTCTTTAAAAAAAGGTAGGTGAAAACACTTTATAAAATATAAAGAACTGTGTATAGATATATATACATACATGTATATATATGTATATGTATTAAAGAACTATGTATAGATATATATATACTATATATACATACATGTATATATATGTATTAAAGAACTATGTATATACATATATAATTATGATGATAAAGAAGAGGGGGATAATTATGATGAAGATGAAGAAAAATACAAGGAATATTTGCTTAGGGTAATGGCAGAACATAACTCCCTTTACATATGATCAATTTATCAAAAAGTAAAGATTGTTTTTCTCATGAGCTAAAATCTTGAGCAGCACTACAGTCAAGAGAAAATAACTTGGTACTCTCTTGATATATCAGCATGAACTGAAAAACATAGATGATATCTAAGTGCTGGGAGAAGAGGGACTGACTGTCTCACTAATAACTCCATGTCCTCTTCAAGCAAAAAGTTTAATTTAAAAAAACAGTATCTTTTGAGACTACAAGTGTTCTAACTTGTGAATGGAGCCTGGTCTTTTTGAAATATTACATTTAACAGATTTTCTTAATTTTAACCCAGTAACTTCTTACTGTTCCATACTCCTGTCCAGGATTACATATTACATTTAGTTATTGTGTCTCCTTGGACTGCTTTTGGTTCTAACAGTTTCTCAGACTTCTCTTGGTTTTGATGTCCTTGACAATTTCCAGGAGTATTGGTCAGGTATTTTGTAAGATGCCCATCAAGCATAACTTATCTGATTGGTGTTCTCATTATCAGACTGGGACTATGGGTTTTTAGGGGTAGACCACAGAGGTAATGCACCACTTTGATCACGTGATATCAACTGTATCAATGATCAACATGATTTATCACTCTTGGTGTTGACCTTGATTATCTGGCTTAGGTAGCATTTGTCAGGTACCTCCTATGTAAAGCTACTCCTTTTGTGTTTTTGTTCTGCTACTGTCCATGCCATATTCTGTAGAAAGAAGCACTATGGCCAGGCTACCCTTATAATGTGGGAAATTATAATCTACCTGCTTATGGTCCAAATGTGAACATAAATTATCTGGACTCTCATGCACAGATTCATCTCTTCCTCTTTATTTACTTATTTATTCAACCACGTACTAATGTAAGTATGAAGTCAGGCACATTTACATTATATCCTGGATTACAATCCAACATTAATTTGTCTTGTTCAAATTATTTTCACTTTGGTCATTAACTCACTTATGCATAGTGTTCCATTGTTGGAATGCTAAGCATGTTGGAGTTATTTATATCCTACTGCTCAAGGTCATCACCAAGGTCTGATTTTTCACTCATGAAAAATTCAAAAAATTGCAACCTCCAGCATAAATGGATTATAAGCACTTTCAGTTGTTCCTCTGACACACATTCCATAATTGTTGGCATTTCCTTCCCAGAACTTTCTTATTTCCAATCTCATCTTTTAATGGCTTGACAGTGCATTCATTCATTTTTATCACTGGATACTATTTCATTGTATGGATACACCACCCTTTATATATTCATTTCTCTTGTTGAAGAACACCTTAGTTGTCTGCAGTTTTTGGTGATTATAATTAAAACTGCTATAAGTATTTACATTCAAGTTGAAATTTTCAAATCAATCATGTGAACAGGCAAGTACTTAGGAGTATGATTAATATGGTGTCACCTAATTTTAATCTTTAATATATAATATAAAAGCAATGATTATTACTTTAAAAATGTAAAAATAGAAAATGATATAAAGGAAGAGGTAGAAATATGCACTTATATTTGGGAAAATATTTTCCCAAACCAGTACCTGTAATACCAATGATAAAACTGTTATCAATTTCTTTCTTGTATTTCCATACAAGTTAAAATCCAATGATATATTATTGTGCAACTTGCTTGTTTGTTCATGTATCAACAGGCCATCAGCTTCTCCTCATGTCAATTTACATGGTTTCTTAATTATTTCCAAAAGCTGAAATGTATTCATTTATAATCTGAAATACAAATTGCTAAGTTCCTCCTACAGTGAATGCCATTAATATTTCGTACTTCATAATTTTGATTTTTAAAAATTCTGCA